TCAGGCAGTAAATTGTGGCGTAACACTAATACTGTTGTCCGCCAGTCTGCTATGATATCACCACTTAAACGTGTTAATGGAAGCCGATCAGTTGAACAGGATTGGTGAAGCTAACTATGAGCAGACAGTGAGAAGAGTCTAACCCTATATGGACACACTGTAGTGCTGTGAAGAACTTGTGCCAGAACAGCTTTGTTATTGTTAAAAATTGCAATCCTAGAGGAATGTTACCATATTGAGAATTATTTTGTCAATATTGCACCTTATTCCAATTTAGGTACAATGATTTCAGTCAGTTTGGGGTGAGGGATTGTTAATGATAGCTTATTAAATGGTGCATATACTGAATATAGGAACAAGGTCTTGTCCTGCATAAATAACAATTCTGATAGATGCTTTCTGGTTTTAAAAATGTGATCTGCTTACTGTATATCTTTCTAAATTTTATATAAGGTATCGCTGCAATAGCAACAACAACAAATTACATTCATATAGTGCCTTTCATGTCGGGAGGACGTCCCAAGGCGCTGAAACTAGCAATAGCTAGGTTGAAAGCAACCTAGAAATAGTTTGATTTTAACATTTATTGTACTATTGTGTTCTGAGCACTACCCCGTTTGAAAGGGTGCTAAATAATTGCAAGACATTGTTGTTATTACAGTTTTCATGTTCAGCTTTGGTGTCTAGTTCTGATTTTTGTGGTAATAACAGCATCATTTATTGAAAAATGCATTATTAGAGGGAAAATGTGATATGTGAACATCAGCGCATCACATTTCATTCCCCACCCCCCTAAATTTTTAATTACATTTTTTATTATCAAGGTAAGAAATGTTACCTCTAGTAAATTCAACAGTTTTTATTTGAGCCAATCTTTTTTGTTTTCAGCCCAATTATAGCACAGTGGACCTCAGAATAATACTCCTTCTATTTTGTCTCCCAACATGGTCAGGTTCTATAATTATAAAATGATATCTTCCTGAAAGTAGGGATCTGTTCATTTGTTATATAATGGGCCAGATTGCTATTTTTAACAATAAATGTAAGACAGACTCCCTCAGCCCCTATCTCAGAAGAGAGCCCCTATTGCAATGGTGTGAAATTGTTTTCATTTCCCAGAATACTGTCATGGCCTATACTTTCTAGCAAAAAGATGAAGACTGCCCACCTTACATGAAAACCTTGCAGGCAAAATTACATTTGTAAAGCACCTTTCACATCGGGAGGACATCTCAAGGTGCTGAACAGTCAAGGATTGAGACCCGAGCAGGGAGGTGGTAGTTGAGAACAGGAGGGTGGAGGACAGAGAGGGTAGGAGTGTGGCTGAAGGCACGGTTGAAGAGGACGGTCTTGAGACGTGCCTTGAAGAAGGCAAGGGAGAGAGTAAGGCAAAGGGAATGTGGGATGGAGTTCCAGAGGGTTGGGGCAGAGAGGCTGAAGACCTGACTGACAATGGAGGGGTAGGCCGGGTGGGGGACATGGCACAGGCCGGTATTCTATTTAAATAGAATACTTTCATGCTTGTCCAAACCTGTACCTATTTCTTGAGCTGGAATGTGGTATGCTTCAACAACCAAGATGAAGCAGCTGTTCATACCACAAAATAGTCCACCCAGTGCTCTTTATTATCATAGAATCATAGAATTATACAGCACAGAAGGAGGCCATTTTTGGCCCATCGTGTCTGTGCCAACTCTTTGAAAAGAGCTATCCAAATCAATCCCACTCCCCCACTCTCTCCCCATAACCCTGCAAACTTGTCCTCCCCAAATAATTATCTACTCACTTAAAAGTTGTTATCGAATCGGCTTCCACCACCCTTTCAGGCCATGCATTCCAGATCCGAACAACTCGCTGTGTGAAAAATTTCTCCGCACCTCCCCTCTGTTTCTTTGAACAATTATTTTAAATCTGTGTCCTCAGGTTACCGACCCACCCGCCAGTGGAAATAGTTTCTCCTTTTTCACCTTATCGAATCCCCTCATAATTTTGAAAACTTCTGGCCACGTGTCTGGCCATTTTACCAGTCTGTCTATGTCCCCTTGCAGTCTGCTACTCCTCCTCACAGTTTATTACTTTTCCTAGCATAGTATCACCTGCAAACTTGGAAATTGTATTCCCTACACACCAAGTCCAGGTCATTTATATTTATACTACTTTTTAAAAAAATTGAAAACTGCTCTTTTTCATTTCAGATGTATTTGAAGCATATCTTGTGCGCGGTGCTGGTTTGCTGCTGGATTCATCATGGATATGCTCAATTGGGTAATTCCTTTCAACTAACAAAGTTCAACCTGAAGGATATCATCCCGTTCAAAATATTCCAACATGATCAATATTATTTGTTTTGCCCACGAAATATACAGTCAATTCACTTTACAGTATATTCTGTGAAGCACTTTCAGATGTGATAAGGCGCTATATCAAATGCAATGATTATTCTTATTATTACTGCATATGAAATCTGCAACTCACCTGATGGCTCAAGGAATGTTGCAAATTTGGATTCCATGACCAGGGTCAGGAGCCATTTGATCTAGCTTGTCTGAGTTCGAATTCTTTTTTCAGGTTTCTGGCTGCTGTAGAGGATAGGAGTCCCAATGTGGAAACAAAAACAGAAGTCGCTGGGAACACTCAGCAGGTCAGGTAGCATCTGTGGAGAAAGGAAGTGACAAAGGGTCGTGGACCCGAAACATTGACTCACTTTCCTTTCTCCACAGATACTGCCTGACCTGCTGAGTGTTCCCAACGACTTCTGTTTTGTTTTCAGATTTCCAGCATCTGCAGTATTTTGCATTTTGTTTAATATAGTAATGTGGTTTCCTGATCCCGATTACTGTGTACAAATTGGCTGCTGTGTTTCACCTACAAAACACGCAGTCACTCACTTTACAATAAATCCAGTGAGATAATTTGAAGTGTTCTAATTATGTGAAAGGTGCTATATCAATTGCAAGAATTATAATTATTATTTACCATTGGGCTAGTAACTATCCGAGGGTAATAATAAATCATAGCAGGGTGGTGATTTCTGACACGATAGTATGTACCTGTAGAACAGAACAACAACAAAATTACATTTGTAAAATGCCTTTCACCATGGCAGGACATCCCAAGGTGCTGGACAGAGTTAATAATAATAATAATAATAATCCTTGCATTTGATATAGCACTTTTCATATCTTCTAGACATCTCAAAGGGCTTCACAGAATAGACTGTAAAGTTAATTGACTGTATACTTGTGGGCGAAATGCGGCACACAGCAGTGTCCCACAAACAGTCGTGGATTGAAATGACCAATTTATTTTTTCTTGAGGATTATTATCAGACGTGTGGAGTAAGGAAACTTGCCCAAGGTTTCATCCTGCCGGGAATCGAACCCAGGAATCTTGCTTGCAAAGCGAGTGCTCTAACCACTGAGCTACAGGACTCCACAGGACTCGAGTTACGGACCCGAGCTGGGGGGCCAGGTTGGGGAAGGTGGAGGGCAGCGGGGAAAGCACGGTCGAAGAGGAGGGTCTTGAAATGGGTCTTGAAGGTGGCAAGGGAGGGGCTGAGGCGGAGGGACTGCAGGATGGAGTTCCGGAAGGTGGGGGCAGAGTGGCAGAAGGCCCGCCCCCCCAGTAGTGTGGCAAGCGAGGTGGGGATGTGAAGCAGGCTGGAGGGAGCTAGCAGGATGGTAGGGAGGTTTAGGCGGTCGCAGAGGTAAGGGGAAGCAAGACTATGGAGGGCTTTGAAGGATCTTGAACTGTATCCTCTGTGTGATGGGAAGCCAGTGGATTCAGGCGAGGATGGGGGTGATAGGGTCGCGGAGCCTAGTGTGGGAGAGGACATGGGCTGCAGAGTTCTGGATGAGCTGCAGCCTATGGAGGGAGGAACAGTCCATTACTATTTCCAAGCAGAGGAAGTGCATGGCAATGAGCAAAAACAGGCAGATGAGCAGACAGTTCAGATTTAATTAGTGATGAACATGTGGAATGGACTACCAGAACTGCAGCTAGAGGCAGATTGTATCCACAAAGTCAAGAAATAGATAGTTGTTTGGCGAAGATTTCATTTGAGGGAAATAAAAAATAATAATAATAATCCTTATATTTTGTATAATACGGTTTCATGTTGGGAGGAAGTCCCAAACCACTTCACAGGATATACTGTCCATACTGTAATGGACCAAAGAAGCCCATTCAGTAATCCTAAAGTTAGAAAAGATAATAAAAACAAATAATCCTACACTACTTTATGTCTCTTGGCACACAGTCCCTGCAAGACTGTGGAGGGTTTTGAGGACGAGGATTATGATGGGTATCCGATGGAGCCGGGTGAGGCTGGGGGTGATTTGGTCATGGAGCCTGGTGTGGGCGAGGATGTGAGCTGCAGAGTTCTGGATGGTCTCCAGTTTGTTGGCCAACAAGCACGGAGTTCGTGTATTCGAGCCTAGATGTGATAAATGCGCGGACGAGGGTTTTGGCAGCCTGAGGGGAGAGGCAGGGGCGGAACCAGGCGATGTTGTAGAGGTGGAGGAAAGCAGAGAGATAGAGTTGGGTGTTATCCGCATACACGTGGAAGATGTCTGTGGATGATGTCACCAAGAGGGAGCATGTGAAGTGTAGTGACTATATTTATAGGTGAAGTGGCTATATGTAGGGGAAAACAATAAACGATTTTGATCACTTGCAATATCCCACAAACAGCCATGAAGCGAATGAGCAATATTATCTGAAGGATTGTTGACCAGAAACACTGGCAGAAAAGAACTGTCCTAGTCAAGTTGAATTGAAAAGAAAATGATTAATTTGTAAACCTTAAGAGATTCCTGATTTTATCCACTTTTAATTAATTGCATGGATTAAAACAGATCTAAATTTCTAATCCGGGAGAACCAGAAATTTTGCTAGATGTAGTTATGTTGTATAGTTAAACAGTTTTAGCACTTGTGAATGACTTGTGAATGTGAATGACTATAGTTGCTGTGGTCTCAGTTTGCCTTTTCATCTTTCAGCTACCAATGAGTGTTTAAAAGCCAATGCAACTTCATGCGGGGAATGTATACAAGCTGGTAAGAATTGTGGATGGTGCATGAAAATAGTAAGTACATTCATTTGATGTGCATGGACGATAAAGTCAATTTAAGGAGTCCTATAGCTCAGTGGTTAGAGCACTGGCCTTGCAAAGGAGAGACCTGGGTTTGATTCCCGGCAGGTTTCCTTACTCCACACGCCTCATAATAATCCCTCAAAAAAAGACACAATAAAATTGGTACTTCAATCCACGACTGTTTGTGGGACACTGCTGTGCGCAATTGGCTGCCAAGTTTCGCCCACAAATATACAGTCAATTCACTTTACAATCTATTCTGTGAAGTGCTTTGAGACATCTAGAAGATGTGAAAAGCGCTATATCAAATGCAAGGATTATTATTTCTTATTATAAGTTGTTGTTACTGTCTGAGCTTCTTTTAACAATAACCTTTTCAAATCCAAGCAGGATGACATGTGAATGATCCATGTCATAAGTTTTTCAAGTACAAGTGACACAAAATGATCTTTATCATGACATTTGTAATGTTTAATCAGGAGTGTGATTATAGTATGGAGTATCTTATAAAGTAATTAATAAATTATAACTAAATAAATAGCACATCACAAGATCAGAAGGTCTGTTTGGATGAAGAAGGCCCTTCGGCATTTTGATCTCATTCTTCCATACTTTTCTATTGTCTCTATCAAGGTACTCAATGAGGGAACACTCATAGCTTCGGACCTGAGGTTTCTTACATTTTCCTTGCATGTCAGTAGTTGGTGCTCAAACTATAATAATAATAATCCTTGCATTTGATATTGCGCCTTATCATGTCTTTGAGACGTCTCAAAGCGCTTCCCAGACTATACTGTAAAGTGAATTGACTGTATGCTTTGTCTGCAAATCGCGGCAGCCAATTGCGCACAGCAGTGTCCCACAAACAATCATGGATTGAGTGACTTTTTTTAATATATGTTTTGAAGGAATTATTACTCCCGGAAAACTAAACTTTTGTCTTTTTAAAACAACTGAAAATATAGGATATTTGGATATGTTATAACGGCTTGGCTTGAGATGGCTATGATCTCTAACCTTCATTTTCACATATGCACCTCTGGAACCTGCTTGACTGTCCTCCCTCCCCCCTCTCTGCTCGAAGTCAGGCTCTGTCACTGTTAAATGCTCCGAAATGCTGCCCCGCGTGAAAGGCTCCGTATGAATGCAAGTTGTTGTTGTTGTTGACCATGTGGCTAGAATGTCAGATAGCAAGAATGGAAATTTACTGCTGCAACGACCTAGAAGCACAATGTGTAATCGCTTGAAGGAGCTATTTGTTTTAACAGATAGTCTAGCTCCTTCAAGCTATTATTTCTCCCCTCATCCACCACCCTGCCACAACTTCCCTTGGGTAATGAACTGTTTAGATACTTGCTGACTTCAGTAAGTCCACAACAATTTGATTGTTACCAGTGCCTGGAGTGCGTTCACTTTTATTCCTCTCGGGAGAATCGCAGACCTTCCAAGTGAATTTCAAAAGTGTTGAGAACTCTTGATCTCTATTATTTGAACCTATCTACAGTAGTTACTGCAAATCACCAATGGCTTTTGAATGTGCTCTTAAAATGTGGATGCGTTTAGCAAGAGTATATCGTCAACATCTAATGCTGAGGGTATGGAAGGATGAGACGAAATGAAGGGCCTTCTTCATTCAAGCCTCTCTTGTGATGTTGTGAAATCAATATTGCTGGATTTTGACAGATTGTTGTTGACTACTAAACAAACGTAAGGGAATTTCTGCAAGTTTTAATCTGTGTTGGAGTGAGTGAATTTGCCTTGATTTGCTATCTTTACAGGATTTTGTGCAGTATGGAGTACCAAACTCAGTGCGATGTGATGATCGAGAATCACTTGTGTACCGAGGATGCCCAAAGCGTTACATTGAAAGTCCCAAAGGCTCACAAAGAATATTTGTCAATAAAATTCCGTTCCGCCGTTTGAGTGGTGAGAAGATGAAACTGGAAGACATCATACAAATTAGACCACAGAAGCTTTCCCTAAAATTGCGATCAGGTAATTTCAATAACAACAACTTGCATTTATATAGCACCCTTCACATGGGGCAGTGTCTCAGAGTGCTTAACAGTGACGGAGCCTGATCCCGAGACGGGGAAGGGGAGGAGGTGACCGTAAGTCGAAGTGGAAGGTTTTCAGTCATGATCTGAAGGTGGAGGGATTGAGTTCCAAAGCTTTTGGGTGTAATGGCTGAAAGCAAGGCTGTTGATGATGGAGTTGAGGGGATGAGGAACGAACAGGAGGCCAGAGAAGTCGAGCGGATGCAGTGGGTAGTGGAGTGGGGAGAAAGCAGGTCAGAGAGGTAGGGAGGTGCCAAGGCATGAAGGGATTTGTAGACAAGTGAGAGGATCTTGACATCCGTTCTGTGATAGGGAACTAGCCAGTGGAGCCTGGTGAGGACTGGTCTGATGGGGGTATGGAGTTTAGTGCAGGTGTGAATTTCAATAACAGTAAAGATGGGAAAATGCTGCAGGAGAATTTTTACTTATTTTGTGTGCATTCCTCATAGACATTATTTATTCACCGTCAGTTGTCCATGTGGAGTCCCATTGCGCATTGGCTAGAATACTCGCCTTGCAAGCGAGAGGCCCTGGGTTTGATTCCCAGGCTGGGCGAAACAACAACAAAATTACATTTGTATAGCGCCTTTCATGTCGGGAGGCCGTCCCAACCTTAGGCAACTTTCCTTACTCCACATACCTGTTCACCTAACAGTAAGTAGGAACCCGCTTGTTAATCGATTGGTGGATTGCTTTCCCTTCAAACAAAAGTGTGGCAGCCCTAATTGCTGTTGTTTTACCCCAACTGTAAATCAATTACATTACCATTTGGGTCACCCAGTGACAAGAATTGCATTAGATGACTAGATTACATAATAGTTTTCTTACCAGTAGAGCTTTAGACTTCAGGACATCTATACAAATGCAAATTACTGTACACATTTACATTTACACTGTGCCTTTCACATTGGGAGGACATCCCAAAGCTCTTAACAGTGCTGGTTGGACATCCGAGCTGGGGGTGGGAACTGAGGAGTTGGGGAGGGGAAAGATGACCGAAAGCAAGGTCAAAGAGATTGGTTTTGTACTGGACTTTGTCAGAGTTGATGGAGTCAGAGGGACTGGGATGGAGCTCCAGAGAGTGGAGGCAGAGAGACTGAAAGCCCGCCCGCCAATGATGGGCGGGCTTTCAGCCAATTTCTGGACATCCTGAATTGCTAGGATAATAGAGTAAATCTAGCCCCAAGTGGAATTTACTTATCCCCTATCCCCTGGTCTAGTGATTTTGATGATGCTGTGCATGTGGGGGGGTGGTGTGGTGGGGGTTGTTGGGAAGATGAGTATCTTATACTAACTGCTAAAATTTGTCATTTTAAAAAAAAAATTACAATATCTTTACAATGGGAAATCTAGATTGATAGCATAGTGGTTTGTTAGTGTAAGGATGAAAATGATCAAGTTTCCTGGTGGACTGAGTTGGGAGAGGCTGAAGAAACAGAAATGACAGGCAAATAGTCAAAATTTGGGGGTTGGTGGGGGGAGTAAAGAAATTCCATGTGGGGCTAGTTCTTAGCAATTCATTGTGTCCAGAATTTGGCAAATTGGGAGAATCTCTACAATTTAACATGTTGGACATAATGAAGACAGTCCTTTCACCATAAAAGTAAAGAACTAAAATCCTCTTATTGCAACCCGCCCTTGGAAAAATGTGCCTGAAATATATCACCCTTGTAATCCTGTGCCAGTTGTCTTTTAGAAAGACCTGTATATTTCAGATATCCTGCTCCTAACACTGAAGGTACCTAAAATCTTGTACTTTTATCCTCAGGAGAACCACAAATCTTCCCACTCAATTTCAAAAGAGCTGAGGACTATCCTATTGATCTATACTACCTCCTGGACCTTTCTGCTTCAATGAAAGATAATTTGGAAAATGTAAAGAGGTTGGGAACAGATTTGGTGAATGAAATGAGGAACATTGTTTCTGATTTTAGGATTGGTAAGAATTTCTGTTTAGTTTCTGATTTCCACTCTTTAAGTAGTTGCTCCCTCACCCCTTTCAAGATGGTCTTGTTATGGTTCACACTCTGGTTCCTGGCTCAAGTGATTACTCTTCAGTGAGTCTTAATAGGCTATTTGACCATCGTGGTGAGATCAATTGTAATTATTCCATCTGCAGGCAGATAACAGTGCAGATTGGACCTGGGATATTCAGGTCTGAATGGCTCAATTGCACTCTAGCTAATGGCTTTAACAAATGGCCCACTTGGGCGGCTGCACCTTTACATTATATCTCGACATCTAGTAACAGTAATCACATAATTTCGAAGTCCCCACCCTCCCATTACTTGTATTCAATGACCTCCCTCCTGAAACTGAATGATTTGGGTAAGGTTCATATAAAGTTGAATTGTATGTGGTATCCAGAGAGAGTGAACTCGACAAGCATGTGGAGTGTGTTTTTTTCTTTTTCTATATCTTTTAAAAACTCTTACGTTTTCCACTCTTTAATGTTTAATGTTGGCTGCATTTTGTCAGAAGTTGTTCCAGTAAAGTAAGATGTTATCCTATATGAAAGGTGGCTTACTAAACTGTTGTTACCCTGCAGGGTTTGGCTCCTTACATAAAAACACTTGTAAAGCTGGCGAACAGTGTACAAATCCATTCAGTTTCCGAAACGTGTTGCCGTTGACCAGTGACATCGGTAGGTTTAAAGCAGTTGTGAACGAGCAGACTGTGTCTGAAAGCCGAGACCCTGCAGAAGGTGCTTTTGATGCTATAATGCAGATTGCTGTCTGTGAGGTGAGTACAAAAATCCATGGATGAACAAAGTTTACAAGATTTATTGGAAATTCTATTTAAACAACAACCCAATGAGTAAATCTGAAAGCAGGATTCAAAGCAATACAAAATCATTGAAATACAATTTATATTCATATAGCCCCTTTCACATTGGGAGGATATCTCAAAACATTTCGCACCGCTGGCTGGATGGGACAAAATAGTTTTTGCTTGCAGTAAAATTTGGAAGGTGCAATTCCACTGGTAATGGATGTCACTGCACAATGGAGATGTGGGTAGATGTATTGACACTTATACAACAACAACAACAACAAAATTACATTTGTATAGCGCCTTTCACGTTGGGAGGACGTCCCAAGGTGCTGGACAGACAGAGTTTTGGACTCGAGCTGGGGGTTGGGATCAGGCAGGGTGGAGGGCAGGGGGGAAAGGTGGGTGATCAAAAGCACGGTCAAAGAGGAGGGTCTTGAGATGGGTCTTGAAAGAGGCAAGGGAGGGGACGAGGCAGAGGGTTTGCAGGATGGAGTCCTAGAAGGTAGGGGCAGAGTGGCAGAAGACCCGCCTGCCAATAGTGGGGCGAGTGAGGCAGGGGACGTGAAGCAGGCTGAGCGGAGGGAGTCAGCAGGATGGAAGGGGGTTAAGAGGTCACAGAGGTAGAGGGGAGCAAGACCATGGAGGGCTTTGAAGGTGAGGACCAGGATCTTGAACTGTATCCTCTGTGTGATGGGAAGCTCGTGGAGTCGGGTGAGGATGGGGGTGATAGGGTCATGGAGCCTGATGCAGGAGAGGACACGGGCTGCAGAGTTCTGGATGAATCTGCAGCCTATGGAGGGAGGAGTTGGGCAGGCTGACAAGCAAAGAGTTTGCATAGTCAAGCCTCAATGTAATTAAAGCGTACATGAGAGTTTTGGCGGTCTGTGGAGTGAGACAATAGTGGAGCTGGTCGATTTTGCAGAGGTGGGGGAAGGCATAGCGAGTCATGGCTCAGACATGGGGTAGAAAGGATAGTTGAGGGTCAAACAAGACCCCAAGGTGCCGGACTGGCTAAGTAAGGTGGAGGGTGCAACCATGGATGGCTATATTTCACTCCTTGTCTTAATTGTTGAGAATAATTAAATAATCAAATTAATAACAGTGAAATCCTTACTAGCAAGCTAAACATCAGAATTTTCTACATTGACTTTGGGTCAAGTGACATGAGAGGCTTATTGAATGATGCTCTGCCTTGTTTTAAGAAGGAACTGAGACTGTCCCTCATATCAAAAAGACTGTGAAACACAGGTTTACACAGTACACATAATATACCCTATTGATCAGAATAAAGAAAAGATTAAACCAAAAATTATAATCGTGAAAACGTTAAGGATGCAGAATGTGAAGCTAGTATTTCCACTTCTAAACAGACATGGCTGACAACCCAATTATCTCTGGTCATCTTTTCACCCCTACCTCTCTTGAATCTAACCTTCTGCTGGCCAGAGCTTTGGGACGTCCTCTTGATGTGAAATGTAAATGTAAGTTTGTTGTTGTTGTAATGGGAAGCCAATATGGTGGGATACTATGGAAAAATTATATTGAATGGAGCAAGGGAGCATCTTTCTGTCCTTCAGCTGAGAAGTTAAACCGAGATCTAGTCTGCCTGTTCAGGCGGATGTTAAAGATCCTCTGTTATGGCTTGTAAAAGAGAAGGGAGTTTTTCCCGGTGTCCTGGCCAACAATCTCCCAAATAAAATTGATCACTTCATAGCTGTTTGTGGTACATTGCTATGTGCAAATTGGCTGCTGCATTTGCCTACAAAATACATTTCACAGAAAAATTCTATGAACCTTTGGGACTTCCTTCTAACATGACAAGGCATTATAACAGGTGCAAGGATTATTATGTTTACCATTATTATTCATCCCTACATCTCCTGTGATTTCTTGTAAATTTCTGTGATCACTTACCTCTAATACCTTACTTGTGATTTTGTGAAAAACTCTGTATTTTACAGAATGAAATTGCCTGGCGAAATGCCACACGCCTCCTCGTCTTCTCTACAGATTCAGGATTTAATTTTGCTGAAGGTGGTGATATTGGTAGCGTGTTGCCAATTGATGCTGGATGCCAGCTGAATCCTCAGGGTTTCTACACAAAGAGTGGCTATGATGTAAGTTTGCTAGTTAATCTTGGAAGCCAGATCAGCTCAATCTTCTCAACTTATATTTTAACAAAAAGACGAGCTTCAACCTACCTTATTTGCAATACCTTGAGTTGTGTAAAAACATTTTACTGAACCTAGTCCAGATCGAGGTGATTCAATTACAATTCCCATTAACGTCTGCTTTAATCAAACGCAGCCTGTGAATTAGTACTAACTTGGTAAAGATCTTCAGAAATTGTATACACGGTGGTGATTAGTGGGGAAACTTAAATTGTATGAGTGCATTAGGCTGAGTCAGTCTAGGGAAAGCTCTGCTTTCAACTGATGGGTGACAAGCTTGAAGCTACATAAGATCCTGGTCTACAAAATACACAGTCAAAACCACTTTACAGCATATGGTGTGAAGCTCTTTGATGACTTGATAAGACGCTATATCAAATGCAAGGATTATTATTATTAGAGATGATTTGACAAATACCCTTCATAACAACGCTTAATTGCCCAAAGTAGTGCAAAACAACTCCAATTTGAGGATTTTGTGATATCTAAGGATAGAAGCAAAAACATGTTATGCATGACCATTTGTTAATGATAATAATCCTTTGATATAGCATTTGATATAGCGCCTTATCACGTTGTTGATATGTCTCAAAGCACTTCATAGAATATATTGTAAAGTGTATTGACTGTGTATTTTACGGGATAAATGCACCCACAAATTTGTTGATTTGTGAAATGGGTGCAGTAATCTTTCTGGGTTGAAGTTAATGATACCCGGTTAGTACTGTATCCCTGAATGGCAATCACCAAGACTGCAATCCTGTTAATACAATCATCACAAGCACTGAGGAGGGATCTTAAGTAATGATCATTTAAAGCTGTTAAAGTGCCTGAACAATTTGATTTAGCATTGAAAACTAATGACCTGAAGAGTGTTAGTCTCGATATTGTCACCTCCTTAATACTTAGTTTGCTCATCGCTTTGAAGTTAATGAGTTCATTCTTGGAAATCTAAAGCAGATAATACTGCCTAAGTGTCTAATGTACCTTTCAGCTGAGTCTCCGGGGTCTATTTTATGATCAACTAGTTTCTACAACTTTACAATGGGAACATTGTAATAAATTGATAATTCTCTGATAACCAAATCATTGTAAAATAATACCCACTGAACAGTGTGAAATAAAACCCTCTAATTATCTGTTTCTTCTTTTCTTTCCTCATATTTCCTTCCCCAAATCAGTGAACTGAAGCAACTCCACAGACAATAAGGCATTCAATTTCTTGTCTCAATGTACTGGTCTGTCTGTGTTCTATGTCAGGGTGGTCCAACCATTTGGCTGCCATGGGCCGGATTCCCTATTTGAGAAAGGTCCACGGGCCGCATCCAGCCTGGGCCAGCTGAGGGCCCACAGGCCACATCTGGCCAGTGATATAATCCAGCCCGAGACCATTTCCAACATTCCACCTTCTGCTCCCTGCCTGGTGAACGTTTTCCCAGGGCAGCAGTGGGAACCAGAGGTTGAGGGACACTCAGCATGGAGAGTGGAAATAATACCGGCCATTACTCCAGTCTGTCAGGAAGGCAAGCGGGTCTCTTACCATCTTACCAACCATGTCCTTAGCAACAGACGTGCAGATAGTGAACCGGAGAGAGAAGGATTGGGGGTGGGGGGGAGTGGAGAGAGGAAGGGGGAGGGGGAGAGAGGAAGGGGGGAAGCAGGTGGAGAGAGGAGGTGGAGAGAGGAAAGGGAGAGAGGAAGGGGAGAGAGAAAGGGGGGAGGACGGAGGGGGGAGAAGAAGGGAGGAGCGAGGAGGGCTGTGTCTCTCCCAACCGCCGGCTCCTACCATTACCCTGGGAGGATGTTCACCAGGGAGGGAATGGAAGGTGGAATGTTGGAAATGGTCTTGGGCCGGAAAAAATCACCCGCCAGGCAACTTGTTGGACCCCTCTGGTCTATGTCACAAATTTACTGATTGTCTGGCTTACCTCTTGTTAAATAACTAACTTCACTAATCCCTTTCTTGGTTACTGCAAATTTCTCCCTGATGTAGTAGGTCCCCAATTTTGATTGCATGTTTTTTACACACCAAGTTAGTGACTACTTTTCACAAAAATGGGTTTTAGAGTTGGTCAATTTTTTGTACTAAATTCTTTGAACAACTTGTATTTTAGATTCACTTGAACTTCCAAAACATTTTTGTTCACAGGATCATCCATCCATTCCTCATTTGGTACAGAAGCTCACTACCAATAATATTCAGCTCATTTTTGCTGTTACAAAACAGTCCCAGGCTGTATATAAGGTAAGATGTACTTCCCAAAAAATATACATGAGGGAAGAAGCAACCTAGAATCATGGACATTAAACCACAGAAGGAGGCCATTTAGTCCATCATGATTTTAGCTTCTCCACTGGAGTTATCTACTCGAGTTGCTACTCTAATTTCTTCCCCACACATATTTTGTAAGACAGGCATCAGATCCAAACAGAAACCCACACCATGCTTCAGAGTTTCCAAATCACTGAGTGTTCTCTGGTAGTAGGGTTTCCATTTGCCTGGTACAGAGTGTGCACTTTCTCCCCGGAGGAGCACACCCTTCTTATCTAACCCTGGAGAGTTTAGGTACAGGTTGGCAAGAGTCCAGGCTTAGAAACCCCAGAATGTACATTTGGATACTGCTGGAGTTTAACCAGATAAAACTTGCAACTTACTATTGCAAACATTGGCAAGTTTTCTGCTGCGTATCTAGCCAGGACCACTATTATTTATTAGAGATTTTGGCTTGCAGAAGTGCTGAATGGGAGGAAACTCCTACCCCAGTGTCTGGTGTGCTTCTCAAAGTCCTGCTAATAAGCTTTATTGTCTAATCTATCATCAACAGTGGTTTGGGGTTGTATGGACCTGTTTGGTTCAGGTATTGGATTATTGAGCATTAACTAGATTTTGGTCTCCCGTTGCCTGGTGTGTCATCATGGAATCAACTCAAACCCAAAAAGAAGGTGCTTAGTTCTAACTCCACTAAGTCACCAGTTGGACATTAGACATCCGATAAGTGCAGGTTTCAGCTTTTTGGGGTCAGCAAGGTATTTGACACAATTGGAAAGCCATTACGGTGTCTAAGGGTATCCAAACCAAACTGAGAGTTCCATATATTGCATCTATACATATAAATTTCCTGAGATATTTATTGGAATGAAAAGCGCACTCTCTCGCTGGAGGGATGCATCCTGCTTATCTAATTCCAGAGAGTGTTAGGTGCAGGTTGACAAGAGCCAAGGTCCAGAGTGTGCATTGGGGTACTGCCGGAATCTAGCTAAAACTGCATAGCTTGCCATTGTCCAGCTCTACCGGTTAGGGCTTTCATTTGCAGGGTTAATGGGAGGTGAGTAGGACGAGTCCCTGGCCTCCTGAGCAGCACAACTCATCCTAACTCAATCTGTGAGAACATTGGCATGGTCCTCCTTTCTTACTCGAGCATTTTTTATTTTGTAAATGTTATGTTCTATATTGAGCATTTAAAAAACATTGCTTTCCCTGTATTACTTGCTTTTCCTCAAGGGAGTGTTGATATCCACCCTCTTCTTGGTCCCGAAAATTAACTTTTAGTGAACAACCCAGAGGCATCAGGTCTAACCTGCCTGATTTCTACAGAATGTACCTGCTCCTGCACAAAGCACTAATTGCCTGTTATCTCCTTCCTGGCTAGGGTCCACTGACTACCCAGAAAATACACACAGTCACACCACTTTACAGCTTAACCCAAGAAGCACTTTGAGACACCTTGACGACATAATAAGGTACAATATCAAATGCAAAGATTATTATTATTACATCTAAGTGTCTTTTGGTAGGAAAGTGCTTAGGAATTGGGTCCATGTATCATTTAGGCTATTGTATGATTTATAACGAGATAACTTATGCGAGTTTTACTGTGTTATTACCTGTCTCCCAGTAAACTGTGTTCTATCCTTAAAGTACATTGAATGTCCTCTTTCGTCTACTTATACTCCTGTGTACTGTTTATCTGGTGCTATAATTTCTAAACCATATTCCCACCCTTCTTTCCAATGTCTTCCAGGGAACAATTATTACACTGTTGGTCACCTCTCCCTGTAATTTTTCCTACTTTCATTCAGAAGAGATTCAGCTCTCTTTATGCCTCATTGATTCAAGACTTGGGACCATCACTGTTGCTATCTTTTGTGCTTGAGAGTGTCGACACATGACCTTCCCCAAATGACATTCCCAGAATGATGTACATAACCAGATAGAAAATGGAAAGATAATAATGTTGCTCTACTTCAACAGGCACTCCGTGATCTCATTCCAAAATCTGAAGTAGGGGTTCTGTCATCCAATTCAAGCAATGTAATTAAGTCAGTCCTCGATGCTTATCATGTAAGTATTGTCCATTAAAGTAAATCTCATCTGCTTCAAAATCAGTTTGGCTTCCTTTGACATTCCAGTGCTTGCAAATGTAATGTTCTATTTTTGTTATCCGATGCAGGCTTTATCTTCTGAGGTTATCCTAGAGAACAGCAAATTACCAGAAGGAGTGACGATAGATTATACAGCCCACTGTAAGAATAATACTGTCTACAAAGGAGAAGATGGCAGAAAGTGTTCAAGCATTCAGATTGGTGACGAGGTAAGTAAGAGATCTGTGCAAAGGTAATAATAATAATAATCTTTGCATTTGATAAAGCGCTTTTCATGTCTTCTCCACGTCTCAAAGCGCTTCACAGAATAGACTGTAAAGTGAATTGACTATATATTTGTGGGCAAACCGCGGCACAGTTAGGGCACAATTGCGCACAGCAGTGTCCCACAAACAGTCGTGGATTGAAAATGACCAATTTATTATTGTTTTGTTTTGGAGGGATTATTATTAGGCGTGTGGAGTAAAAAACTTGCCCAAGATTTCGCCCTGCCTGGAATTGAACCCAGGTATTTCGCTTGCAAAGCAAATGCTCTAACCACTGAGCTACAGGCTACAGTTAGGAATTTTTGTTTTGTTTAGCTGGTATCTGAGATATGTGAAAACCTATCACCATGCTTAAGATTATCCAAAGAATACTAAGAGTTTTACAAGTGCACGTTTGGAAATTTCCCTGCATCTGGAATGGAATGTACACTCTCTCCCCCTAGAGGAGCCCACCAAGCTTACCTAATAATACCAGAAAATATCAGGCAAAGTTGGCAAGGCTTGAAGATAGTGTGTTGGGGTACTTGGAGTCTAACCAGTTAAAATCGTATAGCTCATCATTGTGAATGAGGTCTGGTAAGTTTCCCACAGCTTGTCCAGCTCGTACCGCCCTAACTGGTGTTGTCTTGCAAAGTTAACAGAAACTGAGCGGGAAGAATCCCTGCCCCTAGGGACCAGTCTGCTCTTCTGACCTTCTGATCTTCATCCATGCCGATGAGGCAGGATGGCAGATCTGTCATCAGCAGTGTACCGCAGGCCTGCCTGGCTCACAGACCAGACTACCAAGACTGCCACAGAGGGTTGACTGGATTCTGATATTTTGTTGCCAAGCATGTCACCTTGGAGCCAGCTCAGTCCCAAAGCGACCCTACTTACTTCTCCTCCCCGCCAAGGAAGATAATTACTGATTGGTTTGAGCCCTCACTAGATAAGACTTACCAGGATTTACCAGCAAGCTTTGTGGTGAGCAGCACAGCTCTGCACAAAATGCATGAGAGCATAGAAGTATAATGCAATTGAATCCACTGCTCACACTGAAATCTTAGCCACAAATTGATCATTTCCCAACCAATGGAAATGTGATGTTCTGCTAAACAACTTGAGACCCAAGAAAATGTCTCTTTATCTGATTTCTTCCATACGTAATGGGTCTAAGCTGGAATCAGCAATCTAAATGGAAAAGCTCTCCTTCCACCATATCTGGCTTGAAAACTTGGCAATTTCTGTTGGTTTAGAGCAGTGGTGGCCAACCTTTTTAGTCGTCCAACAAAATAAAATATCTTGATTAATATTCTATGATTCATGCCGTAAATCAAGATATACTCAATCAAGAAAAACTGAAAGAAAACACACTACCGATTGAACACGAGACTAGTGCAATTGTTTGGGAGGCCGCTTATTGACTGCCAGCTTCAGGTCTGTGGGTCACAGGTTGGTCACCACTGGTTTAGAGAAAAGCAACATGGTTAATCCCTGGCTTTAGGATTTAAACTGCTATTTCTACGATCTCCTCCTACCCTACTGCTCTGTTTGCCCCCACTGATCAGCTAACTCTGGCTTCCTGCACATCCCCCACCCTTCCCATGCCAGCATCAGTAGCCAATTCTTTAGCCTCATCCTCTGGAACTGCCTCCCTCAACTCTTCCATCTGGCCCACTGTGTATCTGTCTTCAGGTCCTTCCTCAAAACATAGCTCTTTGATTGCACCCATGGTTAACTCTTTCCCCTTTCTCCCTTACCATTCTACATTATTCTACATTATATTTGTATATAAATACAATTTATTGTTACATTACAAAGAGGGGTTGAAACAGTTGGACTTATTTTCATTGAAGAAAACCTACTGAGAGAGAATAGATCCTTAAAAAGCAGATACAACGAATAATGTGGATTATAGAATTGTAGAATGTTACAGTATAGAGGAGCTGCCACCAAACTGAAAACTGCCACCATCACGCCCACCCTGAAAACGTTTGACCTATAAAGTCTATATTGTTTTTTCCCTCCACATTGCCTAATACTAGGAATCAAGGGAATTCGCTCCGCGGTCACTTCCCCTCCAACATCCACCAACCCCCCACCCCCTCACTCCCACACTCCGACTGCAACCCATCCTCCCCTACTCACTTTTGTACCCGTTTCCCCACCCTCGGTCACGAAACTCATCCTATCCCTAAAACCAACCACCTGCTCCCTTGACCCCATCCCCACTCCACTCCTTATCTCCCAGCTCCACTTTCTTGCCCCACATATCACCGACATCATCAACCTGTCCCTCTCCTCTGGCTCTGTCCCCATTCCCTTAAAAACTGCCACCATCACGCCCACCCTGAAAAAACCCTCCCTTGATGCGTCGCAGCTATCAAGCTACCGGCCCATCTCCAACCTCCCCTTTCTCTCCAAGGTCCTGGAAAGAGTTGTCGCCTCCCAACTGCGCTCTTTCCTTTCCACCCATTCTCTTTTCGAACCCCTTCAGTCAGGTTTCCGTGCTGCCCATAGCACAGAAACTGCCCTGGTCAAGGTCACCAATGATATCCTGACCATCTGTGACCAGGGCTCCCTCTGCCTCCTCGTCCTCCTCGACCTATCGGCAGCATTCGATACGGTCGACCACGCTATCCTACTCCACCGCTTGTCCTCCCACCTCAACCTTCAAGGCACTGTCCTTGAGTGGTTTAGGTCGTACCTTTCTCACCGTCTTCACTTTGTCTCGACGAATGGCTTCTCCTCCACCCCCCGTACTGTCTCATGTGGTGTCCCTCAGGGCTCTGTCCTCGGTCCCCTCCTCTTCACCCTCTATATGCTCCCCCTTGGTGACATCATCCGCAGACATGGAGTTAACTTCCACATGTATGCGGATGACACCCAACTCTACCTTTCCTCCTCTACTCTCAACTCCACGACCACCGATGTCCTGACAGCTGCCTGTCCGACATCGAGTCCTGGACGAGAGACAACTTTCTTCAGCTCAACGTGCGAAAAACCGAGGCCCTCCTGATTGGCTCACGTCAGCGCCTCCGCACCTCAGGCGCTGACACCATCAGCATCCAAGGCTGCACTCTCCACCTCTCAAAGCCAGTCAGGAACCTCGGCGTTTTGTTCGACCCTGAGCTGTCCTTTCTCCCTCACATCCGCACCACAACTGGCACCGCCTTCCATCACCTCCGGAACATCGCCAGACTACGCCACTACCTCACCCCTCACGCTGCTGAAACCCTGGTTCACGCCTTTGTCACCTCAAGGCTGGACTATGGGAACTCTCTCCTCCGGCCTTCCCGCCACCTCCCTCCACAAGCTGCAGGTCATTCAGAACTCTGCAGCTCGTGTACTGTCCCGCACCAGGCTTCGGGACCACATCACTCCCACCCTCGCTCGCCTCCACTGGCTCCCCATCCCCCAGAGGATTGATTTCAAGATCCTCATCCTCACCTACAAGGCCATTCACGGCCTCGCTCCCTCCTACCTCTCCAACCTACTATCCCCCTACCTACCTGCCCGTACCCTCCGTTCCTCTGGCTCCGGTCTGCTCCACGTCCCCCGCCCCAATCGCCCTACCATTGGTGGTCGGGCCTTCAGCCTCTCAGCCCCGAGGCTCTGGAACTCTATCCTCCAGTGCCTTCGCCTTGCTTCCTCCCTCTCCTCCTTCAAGGCCGGTCTCAAAACCTTTCTCTTTGACCGAGCCTTCAGCTCCCCTCTCGACTCTCTTCCCCCTTCTCGCTCCCTCCTATCCCTCCCCTCACCCTGACCATTTCCCCCCTCCTCGCTCCCTTCCCTGACCATTTCCCCCCTGCTCGGGTCATGACCCAACTGTGCAGCGCCTTGGGACGTCCTCCTGACGTGAAAGGCGCTTTATAAATGGAATCTTGTTGTTGATGTTGTTGTACTACTTTTCTGCTTGTTCCTAATTCCTTCAATATTCATCTATCTAATTCACTTTAAAAAGAATTTAAGGACTTCGCTTCAAGAACAAATTGTGGCAAGGAACTCTACACTGAGTAGCCATCTTTGAGTAAAGCTTTTAATTTGGATAGTGGGCTAGAACTGGAGAATGATAAGAATAATAACACCATTCACATTTGGAGGACGTCCCAAACTGGTTCATATGATATACCGTAAAGTGCAGTGACAGTGTGTTCTGTGGACGAATGGGAAGGAAATGAGAAATGAAAAGAAAAATACAAAGCTAATGACGCTAAGAATCAAAAGATTACTTTTTCTTCCCAGAGCAGAAGATATGTCAACAGAAATCCTACGAAAAATTGCTTTGCTAGACTCCTCCAAAATGGACTAGACATGGTTAGGAATACAATTGACAGCCGAAAAAATATGTGTAATAGGAGATGATTGAATACTATAGAATGTAAAGGCTCCTGAGCTGATAGAACTATGGAAATGTCACATTGTCAAGAACAAATAATGTAGTTTGTAAGTTGAATTATAAACTGGAACTTGCTTGGGTGGTAGTCAGAGGCATTGCTGAGTCTTTCCTCAGGAGATTAAATATGTTGTCTAGAGGCCATGACAGGCAGATTGTCCGTTGTTCAATGCAACAAATGACCTTTTTTCTTTGCTTTCTTGTTATTTGCCCTGCAGGTTTTATAGGCTGAAGTCTATTTCATCCTTGGTTGTATGGCTTGAATTCATAAGTACTAACCTTCCCCCATTGTAGTTTCACTGCTGTTTGAACGGACAACCACACAATTCATCAGGGTATGGTGGTCAGCGGGGGGAAAACCAAATTTTTCAAATACAACCTCTCCCCCCACCAAAAAAAGGAAATATGAAACTATGTGTGTGTGTGTGAAGGAGATAGGGGGGATGTGAAAGTATGTGTGTGGAGGAGGTGGAGGAATGTGAAAGTGTGTGTGTGTGTGGAGGGGGGGTTATGAAGGTGTGTGGAGGTGGGGGGAAGGAGAATTATGAAAATGTGTGGGGTTGGGGGAGGGGGAAGTGAGTTATGAAGGTGGGTGGTGGAAGAGGGGGTTATGAAGGTGTGTGGGGAAGGAGGTTTATGAAGGTGTGTGGGGAAGTCGGTCTATGAAGGTGTGTGGAGGTTTGGGATGGGAAAGTGGGTTTATGAAGGTGTGTGGGGTAGGGGGATTATGAAGGTGTGTGGGGTTTGGGGACGGGAAAGGGGGGTTATAAAGGTGTTGGGGGAGGGGGGTTATGAAGGTGTGTGGGGCTATGAGAAGGGGGTTTATGAAAGTGACCGTGCCCTGGTCACGATCTGATGTAGAACCGTTTTTTGATGAATGGACGTTGGTCTAGGAAAACATTTTTGTAAATCTACAATACTATGCATTTGGTGCCTAATAGTTAGGTCTGCCCAACTGCATTTGCTATTAGAAGGACAGACTCCAAGACATAACATCCTTAAAATCTGATTTTGATATGTCATTCGGTTTGCAATTGCAATGACAGGACCTTTCCACAATACTACTAATGATTACCACTCACAAAGCTTATCAGTTTCTGCCAAAGACTTTTGTTGGGCCATTTCCAAGGTTTAGGTATGATGGCCACTGTGAATGTTATGACAGTCATAAAATAGTTAAGACAGCCAATGTTGTAATGTAATATTACATTGTAATTTCAGTTTTCTTGTAAATATTGTCCCTTCCCTGTGCAATCAAATGAATGTGCAGCTCAGAGGGCTTCTCAGGTCTGTTTTTGCCTATAAAAACAGTCACTGCATTTGACAGTGAGTTAAATGTTTTGAAATGGTTCAACATAATAATGTGCATGTTCTTTACCTCATTAATGCTGGTTGCTAAGAGGGATGTGAGATGCACTTAATTCCCCCTCCTCTTTTGCTCTTGTTTAGCATCTTGTAGTACTCATTGGGGAACTGATCTACAGTGCTGTCCATCCTTCTCAGTGTACAGGATGTTGCTTTCTAAAGTGCCACTAATTTTTTTAATGTCTTCAACCAGCAGCTTATATAGTCTTAAAACTGCACTCAGTGAAGCTGCACCAAACTCCTCATATCCACCACCCCCGTCCTTGCTAATCTCCACTGTCTCTCAGTGGATTAATTTCAAGGTCCTCACCTACAAATTCATTCTCTCTATGGCATCTCCTTATCTCTCTGATCTTCTCCTACTCCTCCGCTTGGCTTCTCTGCTGTATGTTCCCTGCCCTCTCTGCACCAGCATCAGTGGCCAAGCCTTCAGTTCCTACAGCCCGACCCTCTGGAATTCCTTCCCTCTACATCTCGCCTCCTCCCTTTCTGTTTGGTCTCAAATCTTTGAAGTGCCTACGTCCACCTCCCCTTCTCCCTTCTCAGTATCCACCCCCGTCTCTGAACGTGCTCCAAGTAGTTACCTTACGTGAAGTACACTACATACATTTTTAGCTGGTTAGACTTCAGCAGTACCCCAAAACACACTATAGGGTCCCCAAGCCTTGGCTGTTGCCAACCTGCGCCTAATACTTTCCAGAATTAGGTAAGTAGGATGTGTCCCTCCAGGGAGATAGTGCGCATTTCATTCCAACAATCTGTCTCTGCGATTTCCATGTGGAGGTGGGATGCATAGTTACAATATCAGTTTAGTTAGGATACTCTTAAGCATGATGATGAGTTTCCGCATGGCAGATACCAGACTGATAACGCCCTCATAAAAAAACAGTTGTTATTGTTTACTCACCCCGGCTAATGTAAACATAAATATGGTTTTGTGATCTGACCATCAATGACACCACCTGCTTGGGAAGTACCTACAGAGGAGGATACGCCACTTTTTTAAAACAGATCTTTTTCCCTTTAGGTGAGCTTCAACATACGTATTACAGCAAACACGTGCCTGGGTAAAGGAAAGAAGGCAACTGTTGAAATCAAACCGATAGGTTTCAGTGAGAGGGTCAAAGTTACCCTGAGGGTTATTTGTGAATGTGGGTGCCAAGAATTGGCTGTTGTTAACAGCCCAGAATGTTACGGGAATGGAGCGCTTGAGTGTGGAGCCTGCAGGTAGGTCACTAACCTGGCTACGAAGCAGTAATAGTAAAATTAGCCAGAGCGCTGAAGGAGTAATGAATAATAATAATCCTTGTGTTTGATATAGCGCTTTGCCACATCATTGAGACGTTTCAAAGTGCTTCACAGAATATACTGTAAAGTGAATTAACCCTATATTTTGTGGACGAAACGCGGCAGTCAATTGCGCACAGATAGTTATGGAATTGAGTAAGGAAATTTGCCTAAGCTTTTGCCCTGTCGGGGAAGGGAACCCAGGTCCTTTCGCTTGTGAAATGAGTGCTCTAACCAATACTGAAATTGTTAATCAAGACAGGAAACCAACCTAGAATATATGCTGACATCACCTAGAGGGTAATTTGATTCACCGTTCCTTCAGTACGAGCACTTCCGTAATGGTCCCTTCAAAGCTGCAATAAATGGCTCAGTATCATTACAAATAACGTTATTAAAGCTGTCAGCAATTTAAATGACTTTAAATGAAAACCCGAGACATCTCACCTAGTCTTAGTCTGTAAATCGATTTAGTCTTCAAATTTAAGATCATATTAAAAATTGTTAATTTCTTAAATTCAGGCTTAATTTAGAATTTAGTTTTCCACAAAGAACCCGCTTCAAAATTTAGAATGAACTTTAAGACAAATTACAGGTAAGATGTGATAGAAGTCATCAATTCCCAAAGGTTGTTCTATTGGGCCTGATATGGTGTAGAGCCAGTCAGCCTTGCTGCTCCACACTGATCTGCTCCTGGAAGCAAACTGAATGTGTTTTATAAGCGCATAGTCATTGTCAGCAATATGAAAAAACGTGGCTGTTTTTATGAACTTCAGATGTCGTGAGGGACACGTCGGACAGCACTGTGAATGCGATATCAGTGACCTGGATAGCGAGGAACTGAATGCTTCCTGCAGGAGAGACCGTACAGCTCCAATTTGTAGTAACATTGGAGATTGCATCTGTGGGGAATGTGTCTGCCCAAAGAGGGAAAGTCCTAATGAAATCATCTCAGGCAGATATTGTGAATGTGACAACTTCAGCTGTGAACGATCCAATGGTTTAATTTGTGGAGGTATGTTTTTTTAATTTGTCGGCAAGAGCAGAAACTCTAATGTGTGTGGATAAAAGACACAATAATAATAATAATCCTTATGTTTCATAGACTGCATTTCACTTCAAAAGGATATTTCAAAGTTCTTCAGGGATTCACCATAAAACACGTAGTGACTGTTTATTTTGTAGGAGAATGTAGCAGTGAATTTGGGCAATTCACTTTGGGTACTGTGAGATCCAGATAACATCATAACATCACTTTGTTGTTCAAAGCACAACCAAGGTGTGCCAAGAGGGAACTCCTGGATCAAAACAACCTTGATCTTTTACTATTCGCAGGAAATGGTGTATGCACTTGTGGATGGTGTCAATGCCGTGATAACTTTACTGGCAGTGCCTGTGAGTGCTCACTGGACCAGTCAACATGTATTTCAAGGAACGGACAGATTTGTAATGGCAGAGGAATATGTCAATGCGGTCGTTGCAAATGCATGGATCATATATACGTAGGCCCTACTTGTGACGTATGTCCAACTTGTCTTGGACTTTGTGACGTATACAAGTAGGTGGACTTCATCATGAGGATATGATTTTTAACTGGAATGTTTAGTTATAAGCAAAACTAATGTTTTTGAATGAAGAGATATTAGTGCTGGAAAATGTTTCCATTTGGGCATTGGGCTTGTAAAGCTTCTCATGTTTTAGGCTTAAGAGCATTGCCTTAAAATTCCAGAACTTGCATAATTTCAGAAAATGCTCTTAAATTTGTTCTTAATTTGCAAGCCAATTTTGTACATTCTTTGTAGGATTTGCAGAAAATTAAGATTTTTTTAATTTATGATTTAATTTGAGATTGTTTTCCAAAATCCTGAACACTCTTAAATTAAACAGTAAATCTTGCATTGGATATAGATCATTTCATGTCACAAAGACATTTTAAAGCGGTTCAAGTGATTTACTGTAATGTGTAGTGACTATGTATTTTCGAGGCAAATGAATGTGATGAATTATGCCTATGAACATGAAGAATTTCGGACCCCTGATGTTTTGTGTTGACTTGAACAGTAAATTCATTTGTCATTAAATAGAAGCTTCAAGCATCTTAAAAAAATATTTTAAGGCTGCGAGACATCATGGAACCTTAATTTTAAGGGACCAACCTTAAATGTTGTAATTGGATAGGATATTTTCTTCTTATTTTTGCTCATTCTTTGTTCTCTTTTGCAACACTTAGGGACTGTGTTCAATGTAAAGCCTTTGGGAAAGGACCTAAGAAAAATACATGTGATCAGTGCGAGTTTGAAGTGACATTGGTGGAGCAGTTACCAGAATCTGAGTCTACTGTTCCTTGCAAGGCAAGGGACGAGGAGGACTGCTGGTTCATGTACACTTATTCTCTTTTTGACCAGAATGTCCCTGTTGTTCACGTCGCTAAAATCCAAGGTGAGAATAATTTTCTCAGATCATGTGCCTCAATATTGTAATAACGTTATTTGATTTTATTTGTAATGTCTTCAGAAAGATAGCATAGCAAATAATGCCTTGTGCTTGACAAATAAAAAGGATCAATAATTTATGTTCAGATTGCACTTTCCATGTCGGGAGGACATCTGAAAGCACTTCACACAACTGACTGGGAGCCCAAGCTGGGGATGGGGGGAACTGAGAATGGTTAGGAAGAACCCCAGATGGAATTATGCAGAGCAGGGCAAGATGGTGGAGCAGATCAGGCAGCGACATGAGGATTCAATGAGCAGAGAAAGCGGCCAGGATGGACGGGTTGGAAGAGGGCCTAGATATAGGGGTGAGCGAGGCCATGGAATCATTTTAATACAAGGACGAGGATCTTTATTTATCTGCTGGAGGATGGGAAGTCAGCACGTTTTAACATTCCAAGATGCCGTCCAGTGTGAAGGGCGCTATATAAATGCAAGTTGTTGTATTCGGTTGAGGATGTTGGCGATCATGTCATTTTCAAAAGCAAATAGTGAAGGAATTCTGTACAAGAATATGTGAATATACTAGAATGATTCCAACACGTTCTGTGTTTGTTTTTTTGCCATTCTTCAGGGTTGCAGTGCACTTTATTTTAAAGGCTTGCTTTCCCATTACTTCCATCTGTTCAGTGTGGTGGAAATCACAGCGACAATTGTGAAATAGAAGACAGGCATTTCCCACAGGGAAGGGGGAGAAAATCAAACCTACAGGTCCCATTATTGTAACAGAACCCTTTCAGTCACTTGAAGCATGCTGTGGAATCAGCCTGCTTCTTAATAGCATTCTCTTCTCGTATCTATTTGTCAGCTCCCTACAGCAAAGAAAGAGCTTCCAATCAGACGGATGAGTCAAACAAAGGAAAAATAGCTATTGCCCCAGTGAGAACATGAAAGTTAGGGATGAGTCATGACAGCCACTCAATAGATACCTGCAATTACATTTCAATGGGAAAAGAAAAATGATCAGGGATTTTTAAAAAGGTACAATTTACTGTATTTTTATTTAAAATTTCAGTAGATGCATGCCACTACTGAATTGTTAATGCCCATAGTGAACACTTTTATGAGTGCATATTGAAGTATTTATATCTCAGATTAATACTGGTGGCATTTATGACATATATTAGCATATGTAAGAGTTTTCGCTGTGGGAAATGGCTGTGGTAGTTTCACAAAAGGACATTATTGCATGGTTAAAAACATCTTCCTATGTCTGCACACGGCAAAACCTCATTTGTGCTGGAAAACTCGCTGCAGGACAAGTATCACTGAGGATCCAGATGTGTTGGATGATGAGTGATCCAGTGAGCTCAAAACACTGTCCTCACAGTCAGACCTTATCTATGTCTTCTTCTGAATTATTGATTCAATTAACTCAGTTGATTGAACAAGTGTGTGAATATGCTGTTTGTTTGATATCTGCGTCTGTCATCTGCCGTTCCTGGTAGAAGTGATAAATGAGTTGAAGGGACATTATTTTCTCAAATGTTAGGCACCGAGAGAAACAACAGTGCTACCTTTCAGCAATAGCACCTGGGGCATGCAGTCATTATTCATTGTTAACACTGAGTGACGATGTGACATTAATGGATAGAAGTTCTCATGCCTTCTGAATATTTAACCACTTTACTGTCTAGACTTGTAAGAAAAATGTGTTGTATGGTTTAATACGCAGATTTGTTTCAGGCCCCTACAGTCTGCATAATTTTAAATAAATGTATGCCGCATATAATATTACCCTTGAAAATGCAGTAGAGAGCTGATTATCTGCACTAATTGGGACTGCCTGTTGTGGATAAGGAAACGATGCAGATAACTGGTCATCAGTCTAAATACAAATTGGTTCCGTTGCTAACCAAAAAATAATTACATTGGGAGTTGCATATTTTCGTTATAGTACTGCACTGTGTATGTCCTTCTCATTTCTTTCGTCATTCTTACTCTCTCGTTATTTCTCCAACTCTTTCTTCTTTTTTCTCTCTCCCTCTCTTTTGAGTCTTTTTCTCTCCAACACAGCACCCCCCCCCACCTCCCCGAATCACCAAGTCAATGCTGCACTCTCTCAATGATGGTGAGCATCATGCCAAGTTAGCATTGAATTTTCAGATCATAGCCTTTGCTGCTGATTAGCATCATACTTGTCTTTTTACTAAACAAACAAAAACAAGGCAGTCAGTAAAATGACCTCCGGCTCATCCAGGGAACGTTTGATGTGATAAACATTGATTTGCTAAATTGACCCTAATGTCTAAACAAAAACATTATTTTGTGAAATCCTTGTGGTCTTCAAGGTAAAGTGTGTCCAGAGTTGGAAAACAGAACTTGTTTCCATTTGGGGCATTCAGTTTGTCTCACTTGTGTATTGATATACTTTGTTGGAGTTTTAAGTAAGGAAGATGTTGGGCTTCTTGCAGCCAACGCCACAAGATCGCCAGATTGGTTCTGATGAAAGAGTACCTTTCAGCCCAAACATCTCAAACTTTGACCCATTTGAACTTGGTTTGTTTTGTGTTTGAAATCTTCCGCATTGCAGCTGGGAGCTCACTCCTTCTAATTCACAGGAAGGACATTTATGCACTTTCATGATGTTTACTGGGAAAATTGAGCAACTAGATGAATAAATAAGCAGTGTGGGGTTGGGAGATTTCCTGTGTCTGCAGCATGTGTCTGCAGCATAGATGGTTTTAAAGGGATGATTTTTTTGCAGCTCAACATAGAAAGATCATTGTGATCCATCTTACTTGCACCAGTAAAATACAAATCGTACAAAACTTTTAAGTCCTCAATGAATTTCTTCGTCAGATAGCTATCTAATTCTATCTTTAATTTGCTGACTAAGCATCTTAATCTCTTTGGTGGCTAGTCTATTCCACTAACCCCTGAGGAAACTAATTAAATCTAAACTGTTCACATTCTTTCTGGATTTTCTGGGTTCTAATCACCATGTTGTAGAGTTTAACCATGTCAGACATAATAATAATAATCTTTGCCTCTGGAGTAGCAGTTTATCATGTTGTCAAAACTTCTGAAAACACTTCACAAGAATGTATAATGACTTACCGTGAATGTGTAGTGACTGTGTAATGGTAGGTGAATGCGGTAGGTTGGCACTGTGTGTGGGGAGACCTGGGCACAGAGAGGAAACGACTTGCATTGTGTGGTCTGAAAGAAGGGCTGGAATTATATAGTGGAGAAGAAGAGCTGGCACTGTGTGGTGCTCGAGTGACTGCATAACATTTGGTGGAAGCACTAAAGGTCGTACAAGTCAGTGTAAACTATATGGGGTTTTCTGTTGGGGATTACACAAGAGGATTTATCAGTGAGCAGTGTGCCAGTAAAGCTACTGATCTCCTGAGCAACAACTACTACAAATTACATCTTTATAGCGCCTTTCACATTGGGAGGACATCCCAAGGCGATGGACAGTCAAGGATTTGCGCTAGAGCTGAGGTTTGGGTTCAGGAAAGGTGGAGGGCAGGAAGGGTGGGAGAAGGAGGGTGAAGAAAGGAGAATCTTGAGACAGACAAGGGAGCAGTGCTTTTTCAACCCCGTAGTACTCCAGGTGATGACCTGATATCCTCACTGTCTTGATATCCATAATGGATTGGTCTCCATTAGTGGGGTTGTGGGGCTCCTTACTGTATAAATAAAACACATTGTTTTTTTTCCTTTAACATCGAAATGGCAAAAAAACAACATGCAGAATGAGAATATCTAGCCATTCAATAACAAAAGCATTTGATGGTTTCCTTCCAGAAAATTGCTGAACAGGCCACGGTCACACTGGACGATCTAAGCCACAGCAACATCAGATTGAACACAGCAAAGGACACAGATCATTTCTCAGATGACCAGACTCCATGAATAGGATGTAGCATCAACTCCAACAAGTGTTCCATCCTCAGGCAGTGATCTGCCACAGAGACCTCAGAACCAATGGATTATATTTCTGATTGCTGTTGCTTTTAGTTAGAATACGTATCCTGGTCGATTTACATGACCTTTTTACAAAGATGTATTTGATGGATATGTAGCATTGCCAATACTGAGATGGAGTAGTACTGCTCTTTCCTCATCCTCAGATTTGCAATTGCTAAATGTTGCAGATTTGTTTATGAACTGCAGTGTGTATCCAATTATAACCATGCAGTTTATCTTAACCAGAAATCTATTTATTCTGACAGTGCACATTCCGCACATATATTTTAGATTCCTTATTTCTAGTTGTGTCTTTCCAATAGGCAGACAATACGTCAATATTCAGAAGGCATTTTTTTTAACTGAAAGCAGTATGACAAAGCATAATAAAACGAAAAGCCTCCTGAGTGTGTCTCTGCAATTTCCTACTTTATCTGTACTGTTATATCATTGCATTTCTTTACCATTTTTTTCTTCAATTTTCTCCCCTTTCCTGAAAGCTTTTGCCTCCAACTTCTTTCTTCCGGGATCTGTTTCACAGGCTCTGACTGCTGTCCAGTAACTTGCCGAACTGGCCAGATTCTATCCGTGAGCCTTGATGGTGAGTTTGATAAGCTTTTCAAGGGCTGGAATGTTACAGCTGAGTTTGCTCCTGTCCTCACCTGCTATACACGTGTGGCTAGCTTCCAGCAGGGCTTTCTGCACAAGGACCAGGAGTAGGAATCCTGATTGGGCTGTTTTTCAGATAGGTTCATTAAATACAACAACAACTTGCATTTATAGAGCACTCTTCACTTGTGGTAGTGTCACCAGAGAGCAGCCTCCAATATATAAGTGTAGCTTCTTGCACACTAAGTTTGGTTCAAGCTATGGGGCAGAGATAAAATTAACCACAGTAAAAATCTTAATTGACCCTTTTTGTAAGGGATATGCTAGGGCTTGACTGACTGGATCAAGTAACACTATTTGACTGGGATGGAGCATTTATTTGCATGCACCCTCTGAGGATGAATTTTGCTGTTGTCAGAATGTAAAACAAAAGGAATATCAAAGAGGGTAACGAAAAATCTCTCAAATTCAACCAGAGGTTTTGAAGATCAAGTCAATCAATGTCTTCAAAAGATCATAAGATTGGTTTGGATGAAGAAGGCCCTTCGGCCAATATGATCTCATTCTTCCCACCCTTCTGATTACAGAATCAAGCTGTTTTTCTTTTTAAATGAGCCCATCATTTACCCAATTGGTAAAGAAATTCTTCCAGGTGTCTGTCCTGAAATTTCCCTTTGCAACACCAAATTTACATCCTCTTCTACTGTTTCGTGCATCCAAAATATCTGATGTATGCATCCAGGTGTTTCCAGGTGTCTGGTGAGGAAACCCATTACTATGACCCAACTCTGTTTGGTTTGAATATTCTTAAGCATGGTGATGGGTTTTCACCCAGCCTGGATCGGATAATCATCTTCAGGACACTGGTCAATAATCAGAAGTAAACAAAGCTTAACGTGTATCTAGCTGTGCAAATTATATGGAGTTTTTATTTAGTTGGATTGTAACAATGGTAAGATTGAATTAAATACAACAACAACAAGATTCCATAATAATAGTATAAGCATACTTGGAATAAGATAGCGCTATTTGTCCCATAAAGCAGATTCTATCCGTTGCTCAATGCACCTTAATATTGTCGTTAAATGCTGATTCATTAAATGGAAAAAGCCCCTTCACTCTTTATCTCCATGGTGATTGAGCAGAAATGGTACTATCCCTATGACCTTCAACCACTTCAACCCTAGGTATTCTGAAATGCACTGACCCAGAAAACCATGAATGAAGAATCAGAAGGGAAATGGAAGAAAGAATCATAGGAGGCCATTCAGCCCATCGTGTCTGTGCCGACTCTTTGAAAAAAGCTATCCAATTCGATCCCACTCCCCCACTCTCCCCATATCCCTGCAAACTTGTCCTCCCCAACTAATTATCTACTTCACTCTTAAAAGTTTTTAGCAAATTGGCTTCCACCACCCTTTCAGATGAGAGAGAGAGATAGATACTTGGGAAGTAAAAATAGTAAAGGATATAGTGAGGGAAGCCAAAGAAATGGGATTATAAGAGGTTGTAGCATATGGACCATGGAATGGTCTGTGGTACAGTTAATTGCCTCATGTTCTTAATTTCCCATATTCCTTAAGTAATCAGTTGATGCAGAATTAAGCATTTGTGTGGAAGCCTATTCTATAATCCGGTGTGGGGGGGAGTGGTGAACTTTTAGCTTTTAAGTCTTGCTCTAAGTTTGTAATATCTCAGCAAAGTGATAAGTCATGGTATAATACTATAATATAATATAAGTGATATGTGGTAATAACTTAATTAGGCGTTATATCAAATGCAAGAATTATTATTAGCTTTTCCCACGTAAGAGCACTGCTCTTGTGGATGTTTGTTCTTTTGTCTTTTATTTCCTTGTGTATTTTGTTTTACATTTTATTTATGACATGGTTCATAGTTGCTAAGAACACCACATTTATCTCAGGAACTGTTCAAACCTTGCCCAAGGGGTCCTCACTCAAGGTCACCATCCCCAATTGCTGCAAGGAACACAAACATAATGTGCTCTTGCAGTGCTGGAGACTTCACTTAATGGCATACTCCACAAAACAAGCTCTTTTTTTTTTGGCAGTCGGCAAAATGAAATAGTTGGGAAGGAGAACAGAAATGTCAACGGGTTTGATGAGAAAATTATTCTAAGGTTAAAGTTCAGGCTGAGATATGTGAGCAATGCTAGTTATGCTTAGAGTTCCTGCAGTATTGCAGATAGATACATTCTAATGGGATGGGAAGAGCTAATTACAATGTATGTCTGCGAATATCAGAAAGCATTTCATTTGCAATACTTGGGGCAAAGCTGGAATTTAACCAGCTAAAACTATCTGGCAAACATCCCGTTGCTTGTCCAACTAAGAACACCCTATCTGTTAGGGCTTCAGTTTGCAGTGTTAATAGGAGTAAATGGGAAGAATCCCTGGTCTCAAGTATGCTCTTCAAGTCCAGGCCGGCTGGTCTGCCATTAAAAGAGTGCCCTGGACTCAGCAACTGCAATACTGAGACCATCACTGAGAGGATCAACTCCATTCTGCTATTCCACTATCAACCACAACGCTTTGGATTAATATTTGCAAAATGGTTAGTTTTAAAAAAAAAAGAATGTGAAAAAGGCGGTAGAACAAAACAACACAGGTATTTTTGCTCTCTGGGCATCTTTGGAAAGTGCAACTCTCACAGGTTGCAAACGGAAGTGGTAATTAGTGCTTCCCATTCTATTGCAAATATTGCAAACTGGATCTTAATGGCAGCTTTATTCACTTCCCACCATTGGAATGCTCTGATCTGACCAATTCAAACATTGGTTCTTGATGGTTGGATGACTTAACAGACTTTAATTTGAGGTGTTTATGATTTTGATTCTAATCCCCACAAAAATGAAATTAACTTGTAAAGCTGGAAATTAGCTTCATACATTAAACTGTGAGAAATGTTGACAAACCACAGTGCTGGAGTTTAAAAAGCCTATGGTTGGCTTTTCTGTGCGAATTGTGGGGTTAGTGAGAAATTCACACTCATTTCCTCTTCTAAACAAAACATGTCACCAAATAGCTTCCTGCTTTTCATTTATTGCATTGTGTCTAATTATTTTAACATAAATTTCAAAATTTACCTTTAAAAGAGCATATTTTAACTTCTGATTATTAGTCTGATATAAAACAGAGCCCCATACATGTTTCTCAGACATTTATAACTAACTTGATCCTAAATAATCATAGTGTTTATATAGGATCTTTCATGCCAAGAGGATGTCTCGAAGTAATTCACAGTATGAAAACAGCCCTGATCAAGGAGACAAATTACATTTTGTCCATCTGTGATCAGGGCTCCATCTGTCTCCCCATCCTCCTTGACCTCTCTGCTGCCTTTGACACCGTGGACTACTTTATCCTCCTCCACCGCCTCTCCTTGAATGGTTCAGATCCCATCTTTCACACCGGCTCCACTTTGTCTCCACAAATGGCTTCTCCTCCAGCCCCTGCACCATCTCATGCGGTGTTCCTCAGGGCTCTGTCCTCGGTCCAAATGTGGCATGTACTTCACCCTGTACGTGCTTCCCCTCGGTGACATCATCTGCAGACATGGGTCAACTTCCATATGTACGCGGATGAGACCCAACTCTATCTCTGCCTCCATCCTTGACTTTAGGACCACTGTCAGACATCAAGTTCTGGCTGAGAGCCAACTTTCTACAGTTGAACTTCAGCAAGACCAAGGCTTTTCTGATTGGCTCACGCCAGTGCCTCCACACCTCAGGCACTGGTAGCATCAGCATCCAAAGATGCACACTCCACCTCACCAAGCCAGTCAGGAACCTAGGGATTTTGTTCGACCTTCAACTGTCCTTTCTCTCCCACATCCGTACCACGACCTGCTCTGCCTTCCCCTACCACCGCAACATTGTCCGACTCCACCACTGCCTCACCCCTCAGGCCACCAAAACCCTCATACATGCCTTCATTACAACCAGGCTTGACTATGCCAATGCCCTGCTTGTCGGCCTTCCCAACCCTTCCCTCCACAAGCTGTGAATCATCCAGAACTCTGAGGCTCGTGCCCTCTCCTGTACCAGGCTCCGGGACCCTATCACACCCACCCTCGCCCAGCTCCACTGGCATTCCATCCCTCAGAGGATCTAGTTCAAAATTCTCGTCATCACCTTCAAGGCCTCTGCCCCCTCCTACCTCTCCGACCTGCTCACCCCTTATCAACCTGTCTGCTACCTCCACTCATCAGCCTCCAGCCTGCTCCATGTCCCCCGCCCAGCCTGCCCTAAGGTCAGCGGTCGGGCTTTCAGCCTCTCTGCCCTCACCCTCTAGAACTCCATCCCACATTCCCTTCGCCTTGTTCCCTCGCCTCCATCAAGGCACGCCTCAAGACCTTTCTCTTCAACCATGCCTTCGGCCACCCTCCAACCCTTTCTGCCCTCCACTCGCCCTAATCCCAACCCCCTCGCCCCCGCGCTTGGGTCCTAATCCCCAACTGTTCAGTGCCTTGGGATGACCTCCCAACATGAAAGGCGCTTTACAAATGTAGTTTTGAATTGTAATATACTTTGTAGGCAAACGTGGCAGCGAATATGTGTGCAGCAATTTTGCACAAACAGCCACAAAATGAAGGCCAATTTATCATGGGGATTTTTGGTTAGGACTCCAGAAGAAACAAATGTTCAACATCCACCTGACAGGCAGGGAGGACATCAGTTTAACGCATCATCTGAAGGACAGCACCTCCGACAATACAACACTTCCCCAGCATTATTATTGGGAGTATTAGCCATAACTGTGTGACCTCAAAGCTTAAACCCCAA